TTGCACTCATTCCTGGAGGACAGATTCCGCTAGACACCCTCCAGCATCGCTGACTTTATAAAGCGGAAAAACAGAAAACGTGACTTTGTAATAGACAAACTTTTTTTTTAATGGGGTTCTGTGGGGGGGTGGAGTTCAGCCTTTTGTTTTGCTGTGTGCGGTCCAGATGCCTGTCGGGCGTTCCGTGTGCTCTCCTCTGCTGTACGAAGGGCATCGTGACCACGTGTACAAGCCAGAGCTGTCGACCGAGAGTTGTCAGTATTATGAATGTCTGTGCGTCCAGGAAAAGCTTTTTGTTGGAGAGTCCCGGAATGGCTATAAATGCTCTCTTCTAGCTCTGCCATTAAGTTATTGGGCCATTTTGTTTATTCCTCTCCCCTTTTCCCCCAAGCCCACCATTTTCTGAAAATGTGTTAACTGATTTTGTATAGTCTCCTGCCTTATGCCCTCCAGTTCTACCCTCCTGTGGGACTCTTTCTTCTTAGGCACTGCTGCACTTAGAATTTTAATCCAGTGGGCCACACTGGTTTCACCGAGGCAGCTCAGAAGGTATGCCTTGGTAAATCAAACTGGTGCAGAATCCAGTTTGATTAGGAGCTAGGTTATAATAGCGGTTCCAAGTGCAGGATTTGGAGCTGAGGGCAATGTCTGAAACCAGATGAGCAGGGCCTGTGTGTCCAGCCCGTTGCATGACCCTCATTGAGGAAGGGGAGCAAAAGCTTGGTTGTTGCCCAGTGTGAACACTTAATATGGTAAATTCTATGATCCCAAAACTGGGGCATCTGAAGAGAAGGTGACCGTGATGGGTGGCTTTCTTTGCATGGCTGTGCCTGTCTGCAGTGGTTGAGGAAACCTGCTTTCGGTCCTTGTCACCTGGTAGATGATGCTAGTAATGCGTGCTGACCCATGATGTCCAGACAGAAACCTCTGACAGGCCACTGCAAGCATGCTTTAAAAAAGACCAGTCAGGCATCAGAGAAGCCTGGTGATCTGACTCCAGAAGGACTGAAGTCAGAGAGGTCAAAAGAGCACCTAGGATTGAAATCAGTACTGAGTACGAGTCCCACAGCAGCCTGCAGGGAGCGCTGTCTTACTTGGCTCTTGTGAGCAGAGATCGCAGTACCTTAAATTAAGGCCTCTCCTAAAACCTGTCCTTGCCGGCCAGGGCCTTTGCCACCTGGTCTCAGAGAAGTCCTATGAGAGTAATAGGCGTTTCCTTATTGTATTTATATTACTCTCTTCCTACTTTCCAAGTCCTGAACCCCCTCTAATTACCACTGTCTTGGGATGCTTTTTCCCAAAAGAATGGGAGTGCAGGAGCCAAAAGGGAGGTGCTTCCATTACAGGTGACGTTAGATCGGATAAGAAGATCTAGCCATGATTTAAACTCCAGGAGTATGAAGAATGAATTGTAGTGCCCAGATAATTGTGAAGGGCTCAGGCAAACAGAGGAGCAACATTGGCTAAAATGGGGAGCGAAGGCTGCCTCCTGAGTATTTGTCTAGACCCCAGGGAGGGCTTCACGTTTGCCTACACTCAGATTTGCCATGAGAATTCCAAAGAGAGCAGACATTTGGATTTGCCCTCCTTGGGGCATCTACCTGTTGTGTGTGTGCAAGCAGGTGCGTATGTGTGTGATGTGTTCGTGAGGGAGGGTTCTGTCAGGCTGAGTGCTTGGGTGTACTGTCCATAGTTTTGCGCTTTTTTTTTTTTTTTTTTTTTTGTCTCGTTCAGATTTTTTAATCTCTCGTGTTTTCCAGAACTGCTCATGTTTTCCTTCTTCCTTGGCATTGCAGTATTTGAAAGTTATCTTTTCCCATCAAAAGATGCTGGCCCCGTGCTGGTCAGAACAAGAGTTATTTCTCTCGGGCAGTGTCTTACCCGCAGGGCTCTCCCGGATATTCTGTCCAGCAGTTTTAAGTGGGAGGTTGAAGAGTCAGTTTAGCCAAACCACCCATTTTCCAGACTGGCTTGAGAGGTCCTTTTACTTCCTTTTGACTCCATGGGCCTCTGCTACACTGCAGTATGACACGGCAGTGGTTATGGTATCACCTACTCTGGGGACAAAGCGGGCAAAAGGTGCACCCAGAGCAACCTCACCAACGTGGTAGGTTGCTGCCTGGTGATGGGGAGTCACCTTCCACTTTGCACAGGTGGGCTGTTGTCCCCTGACCCCTCTGCTGGATTTTCCGTTTGAAATTGGCCCCCACTCTCGAGGGCTCTTCTCATTTTATCCTTCTATTCATGTGTGTGGGTTTTTTTTTTTTCCTGTGACCTTGGCAGTGGCAATAATTATCCACCTAGAGAGAAGCTTGTGGTCCGCGATGCTCCAAGAATGAACTTCCAAGAATTTGCCAGTGGAGGGGCAGAGGCTGTGACAAAGTGATTTAGTGTTGCACTTTCAGAGCGATTGTCTACTGCAGTAATAAATGAAAACTATCCGCAAGAACCAGGTTGTGGACTCTTAATGAAGGGAAATGGGGGCACTGGCCGTGGTTGCTGCGAATTCTGCTCTTGCGTGCGTGGCTCTTTTAAGTCCATTCCGGCACAAAACGTGTAGGACAGTTCAGACGATGCAGTATCCTTGACATGCGTTCTAAAAATATTCTCAATTTAAAATTTTAATATCCAAATACAGTTTATTTTAATTCTCAACTTGGGGTGAAGGACTATTGGAACAGAAGGAAATTCAAAGGATTAGAATTTGAAGAAATCCCCAAGTGCCCGTGTGAAAAACCATGGGAGAAAGAGATGTTGCAGAGCCTCAGTCATTGTTGATGAAGGATTTAAACGATACAGTCTTGGGACTCCGTTTCAATAGATACAAGCTTCCTGTTGTATGTCTGTCAGTCATGGTCCAAATAGAAGACAGAACCCACGCAAGTCATGTTAACAATAGGATAGGATTTTTGACAGTGGAAGAACCAGGAAGCAGCAACTCCAGGAAGAGCTGCCTCCGAATGGGTGCTCACCCGGTGCTGGTGTCCCTGGGGCACAACAGAGCGGCTCCGGGGGGGTCAGAGGGGTCAGAAGTGACGACTGGGTCTGGCTGTGGCTCTGGGAACGTGCTGCTGCTGCTGCACGGGGGTGATGCTGATGGGGACAGGAGGGAACAGGTCCCTTTTCTTCCTCCGGCACTGAGGCCTCCCTCAGGTGCATCCTGCTGGAGAGGCCCAATGGGATGCCAGCTGGCAGAGCAGAAATGTCAGCAGAGTTCTGTGCCCAGCATCACACAAACAGTTAAAAATACTGGGCGTGAGGCTGAGAAGAGCTTAGTAATTGGTAGAGCCTTCCCCTTTAGCCACACAGCATCTGTACCCACCCCTTGACATACATTTGAGCTTTAATATGATCACAAAAGCTACTTTCTGTTTCTGCCCAAGATGTAACTGATTTTAAGAAGATGGACGCACTCTCTCCCAAACTAAGGAAATGTAAAACCCAACAATCAAGGTATGGATCTCTGGGCCATGTCGATTCCTCCCATCCAGTCACAGTCTTGTCTGAGGAGAATATAGGATAACAGAATGAGACCTAAGCCCTACACGGTAGGGGCGCCTGGGGGGCTCAGTCAGTTGGGTATCCATCTGTTGATTTTGGCTAAGGTCATGATCCCAGAGTCGTGGGACCAAGCCCCACATCAGGTTCTGTGCTGAATGTGGAGCCTGCGTATGATTCTCTCTCCCTCCCTCCCTCTCTCTCTCTCTCTCTCTCTCCCTCCCTCCTCCGCCCCTCTCCCCCATTCTCTTGCTCTAAAAATTAAAAAAAAAAAAGGGGAAAAGTAGACTACATGGCAAAGTTAGCTTCCAACAGAAACAGCATGAGATAATGAGAAGGAGTGAAAAGGAACGTGTGTGTGTGTGTGTACACACAGAACAATCCAGAAAGAATATGTAGAGTGTGTTGTGAAGCTGGAGTTGATATTTATAACCGCTGTTTCCACTACCTGGTCTCTATTTCCTTTGCCCTCAGCCAGGAGGATCTCAGCTGGTCAGAATTCTTTTAGCATGGTTGATCCAAACCTTCATTCCTAAAGGGTCTGAATTAATTGCCCTGCCTTTATTTTTTTTAGTTTTTCATTCATCGTTGCTATTTCTGAGAGGGACCTACAGGATATTCTAGGTTCCAGCCACGGTCTTCCCTGCTCCTGTTGTATCGCAGCACCCAGACTTCCCTCGGTAATACTCTCCAGCCAGTAGACTAATCCCCATACTAGCTTGTTGGTTCAGTGTCCTGATGAGCCCCAGATAGCCAGGTGAGCCTCAATATGCAACCCAATGGAGCCATCGCTGGGCGCCTGGGTGGCTCAGCCTGTATGCATCTGACTCCTGAATTGGCTCAGGTCATGATCTCACAGTTCGTGAGTTCGAGCCCCGCTTCGGGCTCTGCACTGATGGCACGGAGACTGCTTGGGCTTCTGTCTCTCCTCTCTGCCCCTCCCCAGCTGTGCACATGTGCATGCACGCACTCTCTCAAAATAAAAAAATTAAAAAAAAAAATGGAACCATTGCTGTGTTCCCTGGTAGAAACATTCCTGCTCTGAAGACCAAAATCTCCAAGTCAGCAGAGCCCCTTTGAGTGGACCTGTGAGAGGAGCCACTCCCACTCCCATCCCTGGATTCCTGGACCCATGAATTCTGGTTGGGGGGGAGTAGTAAGGGCAAAGCATATACCGCAGCCTTTAAGGTAGAACTCTGCCCTGTGCTCGCTTTGGCAGCACCTATCCTAAAATTGGAACGATGCAGAGATGAGCACGGGCCCTGTGCAAGGCTGACACGCAAGTTTGTGAAGCGTTCCAGATTTCTCTCTCTCAAAAAAAAACCTTCGGAGGGAAAAAAAAGGCAGAACTCTGCCCTTTCAGGATGTCGTGTCCCCATGGCATTGTAGCTGAGTCTTCCATGGGCCATTTCACTCTTCTATTTATCCAGCTGTTTCTGCGTGGTGAGGGATGCAGTAAAAACCCGTGAGTTACGTGATCACAAGTCCATTGCCTGACTTCATTTGCTGTGAAATGAGTTTTTTTAATTAAAAGTACTATGCAGGATGCCATGCTGGTAAGTAGGCATTCCATCAGTCCACGGACGGCCGTGCTGGGAAACGCATTACGGGCAGGGAGAGCAAATCCACATCCAGGAGATGCATCCGCTGGGTTTGCCAGAGGCCAATGGAACTAAATCCAGCCCTCTTGCTTTTCTTTGAGCTCCGTCCCCTGGCCACCTGGATGGCCTCTGCGTTTGGGTATTTCTCATCTCCCTTTGTCTCTGCCCCTGGGCCCTGGGTCCGCTTTCCCTGAGCTACAGTCCTGTGTGGTGCCAGTCGAAAGTGTCCCCCGGGCCTAGTTCCACATGACCCTGACGCTGAACTGCCCTCTAAGACCATTCTGACTCAGGTTCAAATGTCCCGGACAAATAATCATCTCCACCCCCGCAACTCATAAAAGTACAGCTCTCTGACGTGTCTGCTGCAAAAGAACAGAGTCCACAGTTGGCTTCTGCAGACCTCAGAATGTTCCTCCAACACTGGCCTCCTGCCTGGGAGCCTGAGCAGTGTGGTGCACGTGGTAGAGACGAACAGGAAGCCTGAGGCGGTTCCCTCCCGGAGCTCACAGTCGGCAGGGGAGAAGCCCCAGGACACAGCAAGTGGGGTGCAAAGGCAGGCGTGCAGAGTGCCGTGGGGCCACTCTGGGGGGCTGTGGCGTCCCAGGAAGGCCGGGGAAGAAGCAAGGCCTCCTGGAGGCTTTGGGGCTCGAATGCAGTCGGCAGGGGCCCGGGCCGGCGGGCAGGTAACCCTCTCTCACCCGGACTCTGCAAGGTCAGACGTGGAAGCGGTGGGCTCCGTGCCGGAGGCGTTCCCGCGGTGAGGCTGCCACCACGTGCAGTAAATGGTCCCAGTCGATGAACAGTTCGTCACGCGAGGAGCTGGGATCACTTCGTACACACGCTTCGCTTAGTCTCCCAGCGACCCTGTGGAGAGATTGTTATGGTCCCCTGTTTACAGATGAAACAGCAACTTGCACAAAGTCATGTGTCTTGTAAGGACAGAGATGGAGGTTGACCTTGGGTCAGCTGAGCCCCGAGTTCCAAACTTCCTCATGCAGGGAGGCTGTGGCTCACCTAGTGTGCAGGCCTTCCTTGGACTGATGGCACACGGTCGGGCCCAGAGTGGACCCAGGCCCTCTGGCTACATACTGACCCCTGCTGCTGCAGGGTGGTCCCCGTGGGGGAGAGGCCCACCCAGCCGGCCACAGAGAATCAAGAGAAAGCAAGCAGGGTAGCTTCCCCTAAGGCCCCAGTAAGGGGCAAGAGGGCATAGTCGTGTGCTGGCGGGGTGACGTTTATATCCTTCCCCTAATCCCCCGCCGTCCTTCCAACCCCAGACCACACCATGCGGGTTCCACAACCACGAATATCTGCCCAGATTATTCTGTCTACAGTAGCCCATCACCTCGTCAGAGCCTCTGCACTGGCTTTGCAGGAAGCGAATTCCCACCCCGAGAGCAAAGCGTCCAAGTCTCTACACATCGCCCCAGCCAGCAAACCCAGACAATGAGGTTTGTACCCAGGGACTGACCTGATCGCTACTTTGACCTCCATCCGGGCAGGCAGGGGCTCAGAGCACCCCTCCACCGACCACACTCTCAATCAGCAACCCGGACGGACAGAGAAACCTGAATCAAGGAGGGCCAGACCACGAGCCCAAGAAGGCAGGTGGACCAACCAGATGTTCCGCAGCCGGCAGATCTTCCCGCTGTCCCCGGCTGGAGGATGGCTAACGTTGACGCCCCAAGAGCCAGAGGCCCGTCTCAGCCTTGGCCTCATTCTGCCCTCTCCAGACCACTCTTGCTCCCCTTCAGGAAGGTTCCTGGAAGGTGGTGGGAGTCCTACAGAGGCTGAGCACATGCTGGTCCCCCACCCCCATGATCTGTTTTCTCAGTTCTCTTCTCCCTCCTTGAAGTGTCCGCCATGCCCAGCTCCTGCCGCCCGCCCCCGCCCCCGGGCTGTGGTCCTGGCCCCCCCATTGCTGTCACTAATTCAGCTGCGTGTATGCCTTACTCTTCCCCCACCCGACCCCATGCACACCTTCTGTCTCTTGATGGTTCCCACTTGAAGTCCCCTTTTGACCTCCAAGCCCCTTCATTTCAAAAGCTAGGGGGCTGGCCCCCCCCCCCCCCCGTGTGACAGAATGGCCAGAGGTCCCTGCCCTCCCCCAGCATGGTGCTTCTTGGGAGACTTTCAACAGGCAGCCAAGGTTGGGACCACAGTCTCGGAGGGGCCTCCTGCCCTCCTTCCCACCTGCCAACGTCTCCCTAGCACCCCCAGTGTCTTCCCCTCATGTAATCAGTGTGTTCCCACCGCCCCCCACCCCCAGCCTCCACAGTCCCGCCCCAAATAGTGGCTCACTCTGATGTGGAGGACAAGGTAAAAGAAATGTAGAAGAAAAGAAAGAAAGAAATACCCTTTGCAGCCCGCTGACAAGTGCTTGAGACAGAGTGACCTTCCTCCGGGAACACAGCTGCCTCAAGTTAATACTTTGCTAGAGGCAAAAGGCAACCTTAGCTTGCCATTGGCCCGACCTCCAGGATCCTCTAAGTCTTCTTTAATACATAAAAAAAATACATGAACTTTTCTATAATAACTTCATATAATATATAAAAGCTTCCTTTATCTCTACCCCTGCCCTAAGATACATGCTAGCCCTCCAAACAGATGGCCCACTGATACACATCTGCAGGGTCTCACGACTGAGGTTTTACTAGACAGGAGTAAATAACCGTATCCTAACAGAAGCCCCTCGAGGTCCTGGAAACCTTGCCTCCAAATTCCTTAGAGACTTAACGCTCCCTAAACCCGCCCTCACTTGAAAGTATACAGTCAGTCACGCCCCCAGTGCAGCTGTAGCCACAGGTCCTGTCCCCGTGCTTTAATTAATCCACCTTTTTGCACCAAAGATGCCTCAAGAATTCTTTCTTGACCATTCACTCTCGAACCCCAACATTTCACATCAACTCGACTGAGCCCAACACTGCTGACTGAAGGGCTGCCCGTATTTCTTCAGTTAGTGCCCTCCTAGGTCATATTTTGGCCAGACTGAGTTCCTAGGGTGCTCCATATACACCCTTGTTCTTCCTGCCTGCTGTTGGAAAACCCCCCCCTCCACCCTTTGCCCACCTCTATCACCCTTCCAATATTGCTTCCTCCAGGGAGCCCTCCTGGTCCCCTCCCACCTGAATTACAGACTGCTTGCATTCCTATAGCGCTGGGCACATGCCAGTGCCCTTGTCTGTTCCTCCTGCTGGGGGTGGGTTCTGTGATAGCAGGGGCCACTCCCTTGTCTCAGGGGCTGAGTTGGAGCGGACACCCGCAGATACTGGCTGCCCAGAGAACCTTTGCCAAAAGCAGATGAACAAAATGCCTTAGTCATGGTGGTATTCTGCACAGCACTGCTTCTGCCCAAAGAACTCATTTGACAGCAAATGAAGTGCAGCTACGGGGATTGTGCGAGAGGGCTTCCCTGGTCTTGTGGATGGGCCACCACCCTGAAGCGGGGCGTGAGGCTGTTGATTTCTGTGTTTGAGTTTTGTACACTGGGGATTCATGAATTCTTGCTGCTTGTAGTAGTTGTTCGGATGATTCGCTTGGATTTTCCAGGGATGTGGATAATCTTATCTTCTAATAGTGAAAGGGTTCCTTTCTCCTTTCAGATTTGTATATCTCTCTCTTCTCTTCCCAGATTGCATTGGTTAGCACCTATAGTACATTCTTTTTCTTTTTTTAAGAATTTTGTTTATTTTTATTATTTTTTAATATTTTATCTTTATTTATTTTTCGAGAGAGCATGCAGCACGCACGTGCAAGCAAGCCAGGAACAGGCAGAGAGACAGAGAGAGAGAGAGAGAGAGAGAGAAGAGAGAATCCCAAGCAGCCTCCATGCCCAGCACGAAGCTCAACACAGGGCTCGATCCCACAACTATGAGATCACGACCTGAGCCGAAACCAAGAGTTGGACGCTTAACCGACTGAGCCAACCAGGCGCCCCTCCAGTACATTCTTAAATCATGTTGCTACTAGTGGGCTTTTGCTCTTGCTCCTGACTTGCCGGGAATGCATCTAACAGTCTCCATGAAATACCATTCTGAGTTTGGAGCTAAGATATATTTAATCCTGTTAAAGAAGAGAACAAAAAGTGTAAACGTTGCAGGGCAGAGCGCACAGATTGTGAGAAATAGGCCCACGGACCCAATCAAAGGGGGATTCGGAGACTCGGAACACAGCGAAGCCAAGCTTTACTCAACATTCTTGCAAGAGAGGGTGTCTGATGGACAGGCACACTCAGGGAAATTACAGCAGGCAATGTATCTCCTAGCATGCAAGTCCCTCCCCTGATTCCTCATTGGATGAGCATTACAGAGGCAAGCCCCTCCCTTGATTCCTCATTGGCTGAGTACTACAGAGCTTACAGCCTTACCCAGAAGTAGCCTATGCCCAGGTAAGGTCAAAAATACATTCCTTGAGGTGATGCACAGACTTCACTTCTTTGGCACATACTCAGGCAAAGCCCTCGAAAAACAAGCCCACTAAATGAAGAGGGGGAAGAAGAACCAGGAATTGAAGTGTCTAACGGTTTGGGACTCCACTGAGGTGGGGGAGGGGGGCTCATATATATTTCCAATATGTAAACGTTTCTACTGTTAACTAGACAGCACAACTTTCATTTGGTATTTCTGAAAATAAATCATCTCACTTGCTTCTCACATGGATGTACAATTCTTTTAGCCAGTTCCCTTTATATAATGCACATTTGGTTTATTTCTAATCTTCTGCTAATCGGAAGAAACCTGCAACAACTAACTGGCGTATATCTCTATCATTTTGCACATGTACAGTCTCTGCAGGATAAATCCCTGGGAGCGGAACTGCTAGGCAGGGTCAGAGTAGAAGGACTTGATAATCAAGGCCAAATTTCTCACCAGCTTACACGCTCACCAGTGATGTGCCTGTTTCCTCACAGCCGCACCATGATATTGTGATTTATAAGAGATAGATATATATATATATATAGATATAGATATAGATATAGATATAGATATATTTGGTCATTCAGACAACCAAAACGTATTTTGCATATATGTTTGGGTTTCACTCTTGGCTCATAGCTCACAAAACCTTTGGAATTTGCTGAGCAGTAAGAGTGATGGGAGCATCTTTTGGTGTGACCCTCAGTCTTTCTCCTCAGTTCCTGAAATCTATTCACAGCCACAAAGGTGAATGGGTGTCTTGTTATTCACAAACCCTTTTCTGGGGTATGCTAATGAGCGGCTTTAGGAAAGCACCTAAATCTGAGGGCTGGTTGCCTGGGAAACCAGTGTGACTAGATGGCTTCCAGGGAGGGAAAGAGGCTGGGGGCTGATCACCAAAGGCCAAGGATTTGATCAATCGCACCTCTGTAGGAGGCCACCATAAACCCCAAAAAGGTGGGGCTTTGGAAAGTTTCCAAGCTGGGGATGCTTCCTGGGGAGCCAGGAATGTCGGTCCCAGACTCCTCAAGGACAGAAGCTCCTTTGGCACAGAATTTGCCCTATGTATCTCGTTATCTGGCTATTGATTCATATCCTTCAATTCCTCGATAATCTGGGGAGTTAACAGGTTTTCTGAGTTCTGTGAGCCATTCTAGCAAATGAATCACACTCAAGGAAGGGTTAGTAGGGACCTCTGATTAAAAGCCAGTCGGTCAGAAGCATAGGTAGCAACCCGGGCTTGTGATTGGTGTCTGAAGAGGAGGGCAGTCTTCTAGGACTGAACCCTGCACCTGTGGGTGCACAGTGTCAGAACTGAGTGGAATTGTAGGACTGGTGTCTGGTGTCTGAGCATTGCTTGCTGGCTTGGGGAGCTCCCGGCCCCCTCCCCCCCGCCCACACACACACTGGAATTAGGAGCAAAACACAAATACCTATCAAATGTGTATCCTATAAAACTTTTTGATTTATGCTAATTTTGATAAGTCAAAAAATAGCTCCATGTCATTGTTATGAGTGAGACTGAGTTTCTTTCATATATTTAAGAACGATTTGTTTTTGCTTTTCTAATCATAAATATATGATTAATGGTCAATAGACCATTTTTCTATTAAATTGATGGATCGTCTTTTTCTTATTGACTTCTAGTAGTTCTTGGTGTATTAAGGAGACCATCCCTTTGTGAGATGAGCTTGACCCATGCAAGGAGTCCAGGGAGGCTCACCCGATGTGATGAGATGAAGCCGCCATTCTGTTGGTGGCCGAGGATGGGCAAGAGAATCCAGGGTGAGTTGTATCTTCTTAACAAGAAAATCTGTTTATGCAGGTAAGCTTGGCCCTAAAGTGGCTGCCGGCATAACTTACTGTGGAATCTAGGGTATAAGAAGACAAGGTGCCTTGAGGGCAGTGCGAGCATTTCTGTGCCCCCCCCCCCTCCTCTCAGTGGGAGGAGCTACAATGTGTCTTGCTTGTGGCAGCTGCTGATAGGTCTTGCTCCGCTGTCTCCTGTACCTCTGGATGGTGTGAGCAAGGGTTCTGGCCATGATTTGTCGACACACTTAGTTCCTTTCTCTGTCCAGTAATCACTGTCTCCTATGGACAGCCCTCTGATGGGTAGCTCTGATCTGTCGGGTTGTCGAGTGCTTTCATCTGCTGCCCACCCCCCCAAAAAAAATCACAGACCAGCAGAGGAATAAGTATTCTTTTCTAGATTGTCTGGTTGTGCCCAAGACGTTTTCACATCCAGAGTCTTGCTGCTATCTTTTTCTTAATGTGTATTTTTGGGAGAGAGAGAGCAATAGCGTGCACGTGAGCAGGGGGGAGGGGCAGAGAGAGGGAGAGAATCCAAAGCAGGCTCCAGGCTCCGAGCTATCAGCACAGAGCCCGATGTGGGGCTCGGACCCATGAACTACGAGATCATGACCTGAGTTGAAGTCGGACGCTTAACCGACTGAGCCACCCAGGCGCCTGATGCTTCTATCCATTCAAGTTGGCCAGTCTTTCTTTTTATGACTTCTGGAGTTTGAATCCTACTTGAAAAGGCTTCTCCAGATGTACTGACAGAGAAAGGCAAAGGCTTGGAAGAACCACAGGTCAGCGGTGGAGAGATGGGAGCCAATCGTACCACCACAGAAGGGATTTCAAGGAGGGCCTGGCTTGCCCCAAACCAGGAAGGAGCAAGTGCAGGCAGGGGCTCCAGGTTCAGGAACTGGCCAAGCTGGTGAGGTTGCAACCGGAGAGCACAGACCAGAGAAGGGTGCTGGCAACCGGTACCTAATGCGATTGGCCGACAGGCCACAGGAGGCAGGAAGAAGGTGACCCACGGCAGAGCAACAGGGTGGGCAGACAGAGTAGGAGATTCAGAAAAAGACTGGAAGGAAAGGGCCACCTGTACGTGATCAGCAAGACAGCGGTTCCAGGAGATGGCAGAGAACGGAGGGTGGGCAGGGAGAGGCGGCTGACGGAGGCGAGGCCGAGGACCCACGAGGGGAGATGTGTGGGGGCAGAGATGTCCTCCCTGGTGAGGACACAGGATGAAGCGCAAAGGGAGATCACAGCCACGGTAAAGCTTGCCTGCTGGCCGACACCATCGCTTAACTGGACACACCTCGTCCCTGAACGTGCGCCCTGCTCACCGGTATCTGAGCCCAGGCACCCGAGATTCTAACAAATCACTGTCCTAGCTTAAGTCCCTGTTACTTTCCTTGATACGGAAGGCGGCGGGGGCGGGGGGGGCATGAATTAAACAAGACAGGGAGCCCCCGTGGCTCTTCTGAGCCTGGCCCCCTGATTTCACAGCCTTTGTCTGAGGCCTCAACTAGCGCAGAGCAAGCAGTCCCCTGAGCAGTGGTCACCTTAGATCCCGCGCAGCCTCAGGGCGGATCTAGGTGTCAGCCTGGGCTCAGAAGTGTCACTCCAGCAGCATGTCAGCTCACCTGGACTCCCGTGTGTGGTAGCAAAGCATCTGCCAGGTCAAGGGCGCCTGCAGATGAAAGCCGGCGTCTCCGAGAACTTCAGCTTATGGAAGCCTTCCTGCAACGTGCAGCATTTCTTACTGCCGTCAAAGAGCCCAGTAAAATGCTAGGAGCTGCTGGAGTGAACCCTACAGTGCCGGGTTAGAGGAGGAGATATCAGCCTGAGAGTATGTTTACTTAGCTGCACACACGTATGTACACAGAGAGAGACCACAATAGATACAGGCGTGTGTAAACAGCATCGGCGGGTCTTGTTGATATCATGGGCCCTGACAGGATGTGACAAGGACACTTCACCTCTGAGGTCCTCTTCTCCAAATCCACAACCTGTCTGTTTCCTCATGAGAAAAGATCAGAAAAGCCCACAATGAGGGATAGTCTACAAAATTCCAAAACACCTGACCTATTTAGTTATATTCAATGCTATTCAAAAGTGTCAATGTCATGAAAGACCAGAAAAGACCTGGAAACTGTTACAGATTAGGAGAAACCAAGGAGACATGACGACTAGATGTAACATGGGATCCTGGACCAGAAAAAGGACACCAGTGGAAAACCTGGGGAAATCTGGATAAAGTGTGAAGTTTAGCTAATGGCAGTGTACCAATGCTAATTTCTTGGTTCTAATCAATGTACCGTGGTTATGGAAGATAGTAATATTAGGAGAAGCTAGGTGAAGGGTGTATAGGAATTTTGTGAACTATCTTTGCAACTGTTGTGTAAATCTACACAATTATTTCAAAATAAGGGTGGCTGGGTGGCTTAGTCAGTTGAGCGTCCAACTCTTGATTTCGATCCCAGGATCATGGGATCGAGCCCCACGTTGGGCTCCATACAGAGTATAGAGCCTGCTTAAGATATTCTCTCTCTCTTCTCTCTCTCTCTCTCTCTCTCTCCCCCCACCCCGTGCCCATCTCCCTAATTCACGCTCTCTCAAATTAAAACAATAAACAATTAAAAAAACAAAATAAAACTATTTCAAAATAAAAACTCCAAGGGGCACCTGGGTGGCTCAGTCGGTTAAGTACCTGACTTTGGCTCAGGTCATGATCTCACTGTCTGTGGGTTTGAGCCCTGCATCGGGCTCTGTGCTGACAGCTCAGAGCCTGGAGCCTGCTTCGGATTCTGTGTCTCCCTCTCTCTCTGCTTCTCCCCAGCTTGTGCTCTCTCTCTCTCTCTCTCTCTCAATAATAAATAAATAAACTTAAGAAAATTATTTTTAAAAAGTCCAAAATCTTGCATGGGGGGTGATTCTTGATTTAAACGCCTCCATCTTGCTCCAAGGTGGGGCCTGGGATCCTGCTTCTCCAGAGCAAGTTCCTGAGGCTCCATCAGTGCCAGTAGCAGGGCATTGACAAACAGGCCTCTTACTCTACCCACCAGGCTCCCCTACCCTGATCCTTGTCCTAAGTCAGCACACAGCTTGCAAGAGCTTTTGGTTCCCAGCTCTGACTGGGCAAGTTTAGCCTGACAAGAAATGAATGTGAGCCCCGCTTGGTACATGGGAAACATTTTGTGACCTCAGGTCAAAAGAGAACACGCTAGGGGCACCTGGGTGGCTCGGAAGGTTAAGTGTCTGACTTCGGCTCAGGTCATGATCTCACAGTTCGTGAGTTTGGGCCCCACATCGGGCTCTGTGCTGTCAGTGCAGGGCCTGCTTTGGATCCTCTGTCTCTCTCTCTCTGCCTGTCCTCCACTCACGTTCTCTCTCCCTCTGTCTCTCAAAAATAAATAAACATTAAAAAAAAAAAAAAGAATGAGGGGCACCTGGGTGGCTCAGTTGGTTGAGCGCCCAGCTCTTTGTTTTGACTCAGGTCATAATCTCACGGTTTTGTGGGTTCAAGCCCAGGTGTGGTTTGTGCTGGCATAGAGGAGCCTCCTTGGGATTCTCTCTCCTTCTCTCTGTCCCTTTTCCACTCGCACGGTCTCTGACTCTCTCAATAATAATAATAATATTTTTTAAATGATCCAAGCGACTTAAAAAAAAAAAAAAAAAGACCATGCTTATGAGGCCGAATAGGACCCACCCCCACCCTGGCCACAGCAGGAGGAAAAGTGTTTAGGACCTCAAGTGGCAGGTGGTAAAGACAGAAGCCCCAACGAGGAGACACGGCTCCCGAAGGACCAGCAGAAAGGAGACAGGTGGGCAGCCCCAAGACTAGGAAGCATAACCCACTTTGCCCATCAAGGAGCCCCTCCTGATCCCCCACTCTGGGTGGGCTCTGGGTGGTCTGCACATGTCAGAGCGCTGGAGTCTAAATGAAGGAGGTACTGCCACCTGCTGTGGGTCACTGATGGGCCAGTGGTCAGACTGTCCCCTCCCGGGTTAAGGCATGCTAAGGTGGTCACAGATCAACAGAATCACGGCCAACAGGCAGGAAAGGGGCACCGTACCAACACTAAGCTGGGTCTCTAGAACAACTATTGGCAAGATGTAAATCCAGAATGTGCTGAGGCTTGCAAAACTCACCACACGCCATATAAAAGACCGTCGGATTGATGATCAGAGCATAAAAGGAACCGGGGGCAAGTGGTGTGAGATTAACATGGAAGAACAAACTGCCTTCTCTGTTGGAAAATGGGTCAACCCAAGGGTAGACCAGATGGCTGTAATAGAATCTGGGAGTCAGAACTGAGGACGATGGGCTGACCTCTGCTGCCTTCTGGAGCTGCCCTGGCACCGGTGGCAACGGGCAGCCTGCCGGTTTGGCCCCGAAGGTGCTAAATGTCCAGGCTCTGAGCCCCGGGCCAACTGGGAAATGCTCATGGCTTATTTATAAAATGATGGCTCAGTGGTAAGTTTTTCCAGACTGCAGCTGCCAGGAAGGGGTAGACAGGGGTGCTCTGAGACCCACCGTGAGCTACACAGGAAATTCCTCAAGACACAAGTCAACATGACGTAAGATATCAACTGGTCCCGCACCTGTCGTGCCTCTGCCTTCTCTCCCAAGACCCAGAGGCCCAGGGCTCACTAAATACCTCCTGGCCGTGCCCTTTCTTCCACCGCCCTTCTCCCCTCCAGGCAACCCGGCGCCCCTCCCCTGTGCTTCAAGCCTCCCTTCTCACCGGACAACAGCACCATTATCAGATGCCTCTCTGCACACACTTTTTCCTGCTTCATCTCTACCAAATACACTTCATCCCTCTTTCTAAATGATTTCTTTTTTTTTTTTAAATTTTTTTTTTCAACGTTTATTTATTTTTGGGACAGAGAGAGACAGAGCATGAACGGGGGAGGGGCAGAGAGAGAGGGAGACACAGAATCGGAAACAGGCTCCAGGCTCTGAGCCATCAGCCCAGAGCCCGACGCGGGGCTCGAACTCACGGACCGCGAGATCGTGACCTGGCTGAAGTCGGACGCTTAACTGACTGCGCCACCCAGGCGCCCCTAAATGATTTCTTATTTTAAAAAAAATGCTCATTTGGGGGCACCTGGGTGGCTCAGTCAGCTAGGCGTCCACCTTTGGCTCAGGTCATGATCTCACGGTTCATGGGTTTGAGCCCCACATCAGGCTCTCTGCTGTCCTCGCGGAGCCCGCTTTCGCTCCTCTGTCCCTGTCTCTCTTCTCTCTCTGCCCCTCCCCTGCTCACTCACTCTCTCTCAAAAATAAATAAATACATTTTAAAAATAAGTAAAATTTAAAATGTTCATTTGATAAACTGTGGGGCATCCATACAATTGGTTATTATTCAGTGATAAAAAGAAATAAGCTATTGGGGCGCCTGGGTGGCTCAGTCGGTTGGGCGTCCTACTTTGGCTCCGGTCATGATCTCGCAGTCTGTGGGTTCGAGCCCCACATCTGCTCTGTGCTGATAGCTCAGAGCCTGAAGCCTGCTTTGGACTCTGTGTCTCTTTCTCTCTCTCAAAAATAAATAAACATTAAAAAAAAAAAAGCTTCTATCGGGAGTTGTTTGACTTTCATTAAATGCTTCTTCATAGATATCAAGTGATCTTTTCTTTTCCTTTGCTATATTAATGGGACAAAATTCACGAATAGGTTATCGAATTTTTTAAAAATATTTATTTATTGGGGTGCCTGGGTGGCTTAGTCGGTTAAGCGTCTGACTTTAGCTCAGGTCATGATATCTCAGTTCGTGGGTTTGAGCCCCATGTTTGGCTCTGTGCTGACAGCTCAGAGCCTGGAGCCTCTGGAGCCTGCTTTGGATTCTGTGTCTCCCTCTCTCTCTCTGTCCCTCCCCTGCTCATGCTCTCTCTCTCTCAAAAATGAATAAATATTTTTTTTAAGTTTGTTTGTTTATTTGTTTATTTATTGGGGGGGGAGGGCAGAGAGAGCAAGAGAGACAGAGAATCCCAAGCAGGCTCCACACTGTCTGTGCAAACCCCAACAGGGGGCTCGAACTCATGAACCATGAGATCATGACCTGAGCCAAGATCAAGAGCCAGACACTTAACTGACTCAGCCACCCAGGGGCCACAGGTTATCAAATCTTGAACCATGTCTGCATTCCCAGAACAAAGCTACTCGGTTGTGAAGATTCCTTACTGAGGTCAAATGCAGGATTTGATTTGGTAACATGTGCACGCAGTTAGCACCCCTGGCCAGACTGCTCCGAGGGTTCCCCCTCCTCTTCACCATTTATTTATCTTCTTCTGCACTGCTTTGTCTCTTCCCAGCTAAAAACGACTTCCCACGCCCCCACCCTTTGTCTCTCTCTCCTTCCCTTCCCAGCCTCTGAAATGAATGGTCTAGGCCAGCAGGCACCACTACCTCACCCCCTCTCTCCCGAAGCCCAGAAGCCACTTCCGGTCCTCCGTATTCTCCCTGGCCTCGGGCGACCTCATGTCACTCGGCTTTCTGGGTGGGCTTCTCCGCCCCGGGGTTCCCTGCCCCCACTTCTCCGTTCCTCCCAGGACCACAAGTCAAATCCTCCCCTTCTGCCCCTCTTTCTCTGGGCTCTTCCCACCATCAACAGGATCTCGGATTAACGTCCAGGCTCTTGCTTCCTCTCCCCACCTGCCTGCTTGACATGGGATGTCACTGTCACCCCATATTCTGCAGGTCTGAAAGAACCCGTCACCCCATGTGGCCTGGACTTGGGAACAGTGGCACCCCTCTGTCACTCCTGCAAGTCCTCTTAATTTTCTTGGGCACGCTTCTCATAGCTGCCCTTTCCCCTTGGTGCCTGGAAAGCTCTCTTACTAGCACTGATGTCACTATGTAGCTGAGCCTTTGATACATATTCTCATTCTGTCCCTCCAAGCCCCGAGAGCCTGGTAACAGTGATCCCATTTTACAGATAAGGAAGCTGAGGCTTTAGGAAAGGAAGCAATTTACCAGATCAGGTATCCAGTAATTTCGGAGCCTAAGAAGAGGTGGGGATGCCTCAGGCACCCCTTCCTCAACGGACCCTTCCCTCCAGGGTCTGTCCCAGGTGTCTGGATGTCTCACTGTCTGGTTTGTCTCCTGCTCCATTTTCTTCCTCAGCTGGTGATGAAGTCAGACACCCAAACACCAACCCACAGCTCTGATCTTGGAGGGATGTTAGGGAATTAAGGACCAAGTGGTCAATGATGGTACCTGGCTAGTTTAGTCAGTAGAGCAGGTGACTCAGTCTCAGGGTTGTGAGTTAGATCCACATGTTGGGTGTGGAGCCTATGAATAGAATAGAATAGAATAGAATAGAATAGAATAGAATAGAATAGACTAATAAATCTCAAAAATAGAAAAGGACCAAGCTGTCAAAATCCTGTGGCCCCCAAAGTCTCAGCCCCCCCTTTACCATAGAAAGGTGGCTTTTGGGGAGGTGGGATTTCTTGTTGTGACTCCCCATTATCTAGAA